AAAAAAAAAAAAAAAAAAAAAGGATTGTTCCAGGCAAGGTCACTTTCCCTCAGAGGGGAGAGCGAGGAATCTTATACAGATTACCTTTGTAGGAGGGAGAGAGCCCGACGTCGGCACAGATCGGAAAATTCCTTACTGACTAGTTAAGACTACATTTCTGGGGAAGGTTGAAACTACAGTTAGATTTAGATATTAAGCCCTGGTTTGGGGACTCTGCCTAAGTGACTCCATTTGGGATCTGTGATTTTCTTTTTAACAGAGGAGTGGACAGTTTACAAGGCTTAAAAGGTGAGAATGATCCACCCACACAATAGAGAAAAGGAAGAAAATTCCAGAGTGAATAGGTTGTGCAAAGGCCTAGAGGCAGGAAAGAGCTTGGCATTTGAGTGTTCAAGAACCTAGGAAAAGACCAGTGTTGCTGGAATATATTCGGAAAGAACAGGTGATGAATCTGGAGAGATGGGCAGGGACCAGATCACGTGGTTAGGTTAATGCAGCAGCAGAAGCAGGTGATGGTGGTTTGGATTAAGTTGGTGGCAGAATATAAGGGAGGGAAAGTAGATGGTTTTTAGATATGGAAATAGATCCAAGGACACACTGATGGGTATAATGTGGGATTTGAGGGAAAAATAAATGAAAGATGACTCCTAGGTATTTGACCTGACTTAACTGGTTGGAGAGTAGTACCATTTGGTGAGATGAAGAAAATTGTAAGAAAAGAATGTGATGTCTGTCAGATCGGATGGCGGCCCCCAAATGTGGGGAGATAACCGCATAGAATCCGGTGGCGCAGTGCAGGTGGTGAAAGGATTCATCCAAGGCAGAACAAAGGAGATAGAAGTTTATTGAATACACCACAAGGGAGCAGTGGGCAGGACAGCAAAGGAGAGACCATCTGCCTCAAGGCAGTGGAGGTTGGGGGGCCATTTTTAAAGGGAGAAGATGAGGAGGTGTGGCTTCGAATGGAATTTTCCCTTTTTTGGTAACTGGTCCATTGGTCTGTTAGGGCCTACGGATATTTTGAGGTGGGTCACCTGACGGGCCTGTCTGTATTCAGCCAGGTGGTCACTGTGCGCCTTTTTGCCTTGCTCTACGTTCCATTGCTCAAGACTGTTGTCTAAAAGCAGCTTCGGGGCGCCTGGGTGGCGCAGTCGGTTAAGCGTCCGACTTCAGCCAGGTCACGATCTCGCGGTCCGTGAGTTCGAGCCCCGCGTCAGGCTCTGGGCTGATGGCTCAGAGCCTGGAGCCTGTTTCCGATTCTGTGTCTTCCTCTTTCTCTGCCCCTCCCCCGTTCATGCTCTGTCTCTCTCTGTCCCAAAAATAAATAAACGTTGAAAAAAAAAAATTTAAAAAAAATAAAAATAAAAAAAAATAAAAGCAGCTTCTACAAAGCAGTTTGAGAGGAAACTAAGAATTCAACTTTTTTACCTTTTTTACTTGAGATGTCTATGAAATATCAAAATAGTTGGCTCTCTGGTAAGCTGTTGAGATGTGGAAATCTGGATCTTGCAGATATTATATGTACCTTATAAATTTCTTGAACACTAGAGCCTGTCTTTTCTATCTGTAACTGTCCCCTTTCCCATCCCTAGAATAGTACTGCATGTATCATAAATTCATTAGACAGACTGTGTTGTACTAAGATATTCTTGGGTAGTGTTTTGAGTTTTTTGTTGTTGTTTTGGGTTTTTTCTTTTAAGTAGGCCCCATACCCAGCGTGGAACTTGAACTCGGTGTCCTGAGATTAAGAGTTGCATGCTTCGGGTGCCTGAGTGGCTCGTCGGTGAGCATTGGCTCAGATCATAATCTCACAGTTTGTGAATTCAAGACCTGCATCGGGCTCACTGCTGTCAGCACAGAGCCTGCTTCAGATCCTGTCTCCCTTGTTCCTGTCCCTCCCCAACTCAAGCATGCTATCAAAAATAAACATTAAAAAAAAAAAGTTGTATGCTCTATGGACTGAGCCACCCAGCTGCCCCTCTTGGGTAGTATTTTAAAAGTATTTTGGGGGCTCCTGGGTGGCTCAGTCAGTTGAGCGTCTGACTTCGGCTCACGTCATGATCTCACAGTTTGTGGGTTCGAGCCCTGTGTCAGGCTCTGTGCTGACAGCCTCGGAGCCTGGAGCCTGCTTCTGATTCTGTGTCTCCCTCTCTTTGCCCCTCCCCTGCTCACGCTCTGCCTCTCTGTCTCTCAAAAATAAATAAATGTTAAAAAAAAATTAAAAGTATTTTTCACTGGGGCTCCTGAGTGGCCCAGTTAGGTAAGCAGCCAACTCTTGATTTTGGCTCAGGTCCTGATCTCACAGTTCCTGAGTTCGAGCCCCATATCAGACTCTATACTGACAGCACTGAACCTGCTTGGCATTCTCTCTCTCTCTCTCTCTCTCTCTCTCTCTCTCTCTCTCTCTCTCAAAATAAATAAATAAATCAACTTAAAAAAATTAATAAAAGTATTTTTCACCAATACTTCTCCAAACAAAAGAGGTTTTCTTTCTTTGTTTTTTGTTTAATTTTCCGTCTCCTGCCTTCTCTTATCCCTTTCTAGAATTTTCATGTTACTGTCAGTAAATCATTTCTCAAGGATTTGTTATGACTACTTTTAGAAAAATTAGACAATGTACCCTTGGGGGTGACCTTTAGATAGTTTTAAGTAAACAGCTCAAAATAGCCACCCTTCCCATAGGTGAGGCCTCTTGGCCTATATAGTATGAAACAGGAAATCTGAGAGCAGCAAAG